CTGCTGCCGCTGCTGCAGCTGCTGCAGCAACAGCGCACACCCGTAGGGCCCCGCCGTCTCAAAGGCTGGGGGCTTCTGTCTTGCTGCGCGCAGCAGCAGCAGCCCCTGCTGCAGTAGGTGGACTCGTAGCAGCAGCAGCAGCAGCTGCTGCTGCTGCACTAAGCCTCGCCAGCAGCAGCTTGGGGGCGCTTCAGAGCCAGCCAAACGCTTAGTGTACCTACACAGTGTAGAAACAGCTGCTGCTGCAGCAGACACAGACACAGCAGCTGCTGCATCAGCAGCAGCAGCTGCAGAGCGGAGATGTATCTTGCTGCTGCTCCCGACCCTTCTATGGGGCAGCAGCAGCAGCAGCCGCAGCCGCAGCAACCGTCAGAGGAGCTGCAGCAGCTTCAGCTTCTTTTTGCTGCTAGAAACTCAGGGCCTGCTCCGAATGACCCGCTGCAGCATGACCCGCAGCAGCAGCAGCAGCAGCAGCAGCAGCAAGACTTAGGCGCAATGCGCAGCGGGGTCTCCAGTGCTGCTGCAGCAGCGCAGCAATACTTAGCTTCAACAGTCTCCAGCAGAAGCCCCCCCCCTTCTTTGGGGGCCCCCTCGGGGGCCCCCGGGGGGCCCCCCTTGGCCTTTGCTGCGCAGCAGGAACCCCCAGCTCCTGCTGCAGGGGGCCCCCTGGGGGCCCCCTCGAGGCTGCTGCTGTTTGTTGACAGACCCACGAGGCCCTTTGCTTTGCAAGAAGGGGACATTGCCAATTGTGTCTCTCCTTATGGACCCATCGAGAATGTAAGACAACAACTCCCATTCAATACAAACAGGGGGCCCCCAGGGGGCCCCCAGGGGCCCCCAGGGGCCCCGAGGGGCCCCCAAGGGCCCTCAGGGATCCTTAGAGGCCCCTAGGAGCCTTCAGAGGCCCCTTGGGGCCCCCAGGGGCCCCCAGGGTACTGGGGTGACACCAGCAGGGGGGCCTCAAAGTGACACTAAGGGGGGCCCCCAGGGGCCCCCAGGGTACTGGGGTGAATCTAGCAGGGGGCCCTCATTGTGACACCAGGGGGGGCCCCCAGGGAGGCCCTAGCAGGGGGCCCCCAGGGTCTTGAGTGGGGGCCCCCCAGCAGTTTGCAGACAGTAAAGGAAACAGCATTGCTGCAGCAGCAGCAGCAGGTGCTGTTGCTGCTGCAGCTGCGGTTGATCTCCGTTCGTGACTGGCTGCCGTGGTTGTTTCACTGCTGCTGCTGCTGCTGCTGCTGCTGCAGGTGCACATCATGAGGGACCGCGCAGCAGCAGAAGTGGTGTTTGCTTCTGCTGCAGCAGCAAACGCATGCATGGCCGAGCTGGACGGAGTGCCTTTGGAAGGCGCAGGTTTGCTGCGGGCTTTGCTGCTGCCTCCGGGAGTTGCTGCTGCAGCAATGCTGCCGGAGTCAGCGACGGACCCGCCGCTGCAGCCGGGGCAGCAGCAGCAGCAGTTTGCTGCAGCAGCAGCAGCAGCAGCGTCGCAGTGGGGCGCAGCCTCGTGGGCGGGGGGCGACCCGCGGGGAAAGG